AAAAAAAAAAAAAAACAAACAAACAAAAAAAAAACAAACAACAAAACAAACAAAAAAAACCCCAAACAACCAAACATAAGTACCTACAGCCCTGTCCTTTGCACAGGCATTGTAGGTGTTGAGTGCAAAGGAAACTGTTGGAAATAAAAGGCCTGTGTCTGCCTTTAGACTGCTAAGAGGCTTAAAAGATTTTTCCCACTTACTGCTAAGGAGCTTGGGGTGTGTGTGCATTTTTCTGTCTGTGCCCCCTGTGCAAGGTATGAAAACAGGGGGTGTCACATCTCTGAGCAGGATCATTTTCTGTTGCTACCACTGTTTCGCCGGTGGCCAAACGCTGCTGTTATTTAAGTTCATCAGGTGTCTGCCCGAAACACGAGGATATTATCTTCTGGGTATGGCATCAGAGTAGCCATATGCTCTTTATTTACAGTGTGTGTAACAAAAAGGCTAGTCCTAAATATGACATTAAACACCCATTAGCTGGGCTTAGCTTTAATTTGGGACATCTGAGGCTTGTATAATCAGACACTGTCTAGTGTTTGCTCCCCAGACAAACCATGCTAAGCACAAGGACATTATCTTCCATAATGCTTTTGGGTTTCATGTTTGGGCTCTCCTACATAACAGATTCTTCTCCCACTCTGAAACTTTTAGTTTTGTATTTGTCTTGGACCTTGGGACTATCACTTGATAACCTCTTCACAAATCAAAGGAGACTGGCACTGAAAGGGACACAATATGCAACAAATTCAGTGAAGGGACTATGGGTTTGTTCTCTGTCTGTGTACTGTGTGTTCTGGTGGCACTTGGATACCTTGTGGGGGAAGGTATTACAAGTCTGGTACTGGGACTTCAAGGTAGGAAAGTGATTATGCTTCTATGTTGACTTTTTAAGATCAAGAAGTTAACCTAGCTAGCCTTCTGGTTTCGGAATATTTTAATAGGCAGGAGAGATTCAAACTCAGAATGAAAAACATTCTGGAGACAGTATCTCCTTCTTCCCCACTCCTCACCCCAGCAAATTCCCGTTGATGTAAAAATGAAACTAAGACTAGTTTGAAAAAAAAAAAATTATCTTCACAGTAGTGGGAGAAACCCTTCCTGCTCTGGGGTGAACAGTTTATGGAATTGTAGAATGGTTTGGGTTGGAAGGGACCTTAAAGATCATCCAGTTCCAACCCCCCTGCCATGGGCAGGGACACCTTCCACTACACCAGGTTGCCCAAAGCCTCATCCAACCTGGCCTTGAACACTTCCAGGGATGGGGCAGCCACAGCTTCTCTGGGCAACCTGTGCCGGTGCCTCACCACCCTCAGAGGGAAAAATTTCTTCCTTCTATCCCATGGAAATCTCCCCTCTTTCAGTTCAAATCCATTGCCCCTTGTCCTGTCACTACACACCCTTGTCCCAAGTCCCTCTCCAGCTTTCCTGTAGCCCCTTTAGGTACTGGCAGGCTGCTATAAGATCACCCCGGAGCCTTCTCTTCTCCAGGCTGAACAGCCCCAACTCTCTCAGCCTGTCTCCAGAGCAGAGGTGCTCCAGCCCTCGCATCATCTTTGTGGCCTCCTCTGGCCCCGCTCCAGCAGCTCCATGTCCTTCTTGTGTTGGGGACCCCAGAGCTGAACGCAGCACTGCAGGGGGGGTCTCAGGAGAGCAGAGCAGAGGGGCAGAATCCCCTCCCTGACCTGCTGCCCACGCTGCTCTGGATGCAGCCCAGGACACGGTTGGCTTTCTGGGCTGCCAGTGCACGGTGCCGGCTCATGTTGAGCTTCTCATCCACCAGCACCTGTTGAATAAAAATAAACTTTAGCCCTTCTGTATGAGGAATGGCTGCAGACTGAAATGCTTTTTTTTTTTTCTTTTTTCTGAAGGAAGGTTATGGCATCGGGGACGATGAATACTCCTGCGCATACGATGGCTGCCGGCAGCTGATTTGGTATAATGCCAGAAGTAAACCACATTCCCATCCCTGTTGGAAAGAAGGTATTCAGTCCATCTTCTCTCTTTATCCTAACTGGCTTTCTGCACAGGACTTTTTCCTCTTGCAGGTGTCTAGAAAACAGTTTTTTAGTAGGTGCAAGCAGAGCAGTTACAGCCTAATCCTTAAGGGGAAGGTGCATTGTCTTGCTTGTTTTAAATTCTTGGATAACTACTTGGACAGCAAAGTTCTGTTCTTGATCTCAGCTTTGAAACCTTGGTAGGAGTCTGTGCGTGCCATCCTTGTGTGAACTGTGCCACCTTCTGTTCTGTTAAAAATCTCTCCCAGGGATGGCTAAATTAAAACTCCTCTTAAAAGTAAATAGCACAAGCATATCAGAAACTTAGGCTTCGTTCTGAGCATATCTTCAACATGTGTAAAAGAGCCAAGGAGGGACCGAGTGCAGCATTTTTCTGGCTTTGGCAAATACTCTGCGATACTTCTGCAACACTGTAGTGTTAATGCTCTGGCAGACTAAAATATTTTAATTTTTTTACTATTTTGTCCATTTTTTTCCCCCTTTAGTTACTGTCTGTATCAACGTTTCTTCTGTTATGCTTTTGCAAATAGATCCTTCTAAGTGAGACAACTCATAGTGAGATATGTGATACTTAATAACTGTTTCAGCTGTTGGCATTTAACAGAAGTGATATCTTTAAATTATCTTTGTTTTGCATGTAAGGAGACACAATAGGATTTCTACTAGACTTGCAAGAAAAGCAAATGATCTTCTATTTAAATGGAAACCAGCTTCCTGCTGAGAAGCAAGTGTTTTCATCTGCTGTGTAAGTATGTGCTCATTTGGAAGGACAGCAACCTGTGTGGATAATTGTTTTAATTATATGGAGTGTTTCCCATGTGAGATGTAAACTCACATTTGCTTACCTAAAGCCATCATTAAGCAGGTTTCCCAATTGAAAGTTGCTTAGACATCAGCGAAAAGGATATAATTTTACAGGTGGATTTCAGGGTCTAAAATAAATACTTTGGACCTTCCAAAAGTAGGTTCGACTCGATGTTTTCTACAGACAAACCAGCACAGCATTGACCTAGAATGAGGCTGTAGCAAAGACAAACAAATTTCTAGTAGTGCTTGACGAATTTTTGATCTTTTAAAAAATAAAGCCTCAGTCCTGTACATGCTGAAGAGTGTGTATTAACTTACTGCCGTTCACTGGGGCCAATTCCTGTAGCAGCATGTTGGATGTTCCTGGGAGCACGTCTGTTGGTAGCGTTACGGAAGGGTGTTAGGCTTATTCACCAATTCTGTTAATTTTAACACGTGGCTAATTTCTCTGGCTCTCCTGGAGGAGTTCAGCCCTTTAATTCTGAAAAGATAAGCCGGTGTGATACTCGAGAGAGAAGCTATGCAGTGTCATTAAACATTACAGTACTTTGTAAATGAATACTACTGTGCTAGTAATTTCATTCATGGTTTCTCCTCAAAGTGAAGTTCAAGATGCAAGCAAAACAGTAGTTCAGTTTAAAGCGTTGCAGAATATCTCGTTTATTCAACTTGCAGTACTTCTTCACATGGAGTATGTCATTTCTACGCTCCACGGATTCTCTTAGTTGGTTAGAACGTAGGGCATTAGTCAACTTGGGCCCTTTCAGTAAATAAAACTGAAAGAAGTGATAGTTGTGGGGTTTTTGCAAGGTGCCCGTGTGGCTGTGAAGACGAGACAGCTGTCCTCAGGTAATCCTGCAAGGGCACAGGGGAGCAGATGGGTGTTGTGCTAAGGGAGCTCAGACCTAGTTCCATCCCACAGGGGTCCCACACAGTAAGGGAGGAGAGTTACAAGTTGTGCAGATTTGTTCCTGCTCAAATAAAGCAGTAGGAGTGGTGGCCGTGGAGGTGTCCCGTGCAGTTGGTACTGCTCCTCACGACTCAACTATGCAGCAGTTGTTTGGAGGAAATATACTTTTTTCAGGGCTGAAGGAGATATCTGAGCCGATGAGCGTAAAGAGGATCAGGTGGGGGGCTGTTCAGCTGCATGTATCTGCTCCCAGTGTAAGTGTGACTAATCCCAGTTGTAGACTAGGCAGCCTTTATTGGCTGACTCAGTAGTAATTTCAGATAAACCCTGACAGTAAATTCAGAAGCTGAGAACTAAACCAGGAAAGTGTGTGCAGCTGACACTGCATGCGTTAGAGGTGTTTCTCCCAAGTAGCTGTAGAACACTCTGTTGAAGGAGCTTGTCCCTCTGTTTCAGAGTGTGTTTTTGTCTGGTAATAGTAATCCATGTCTGGAAAGTTCTGTTATGGTTTAAGTCATTCTGAAATGTCTGTTGTTCATCACGTTGCAGATCTGGCTTTTTTGCTGCAGCTAGTTTCATGTCCTACCAACAGTGCGAGTTCAACTTTGGGGCAAAACCTTTCAAGTACCCACCGTCAATGAAGTTCAGTACCTTCAATGATTATGCCTTTCTGACAGCAGAAGAGAAGATCATTCTGCCCAGGTAATCCTCCTGTCTAGTTTGAGTGTGTTTGCACATGGAGAAATAAAACACTTCGCTTCTGAGTTGTGTAGTCTTACGTTGTACTTAGCAAAGTTGTCTTTTATGGGGACAACTCCAGAGACTTCTTTCAGAACAGGATTAGACCATATGCTCCAGTGCAGTTAGATGAGTGGTGCTGGAGATATACCACCAAAATCCATTAAATTAAAATAATTTTTTGTAACACAAAGCTAAATTAATATTAACTCGTACTGCACGATGAAGTGTTTTTAGTAGAAGTGCCTCCTGCCATCTAAGAATGATTAGGTTGGCTGAGGAGGTATAGTCTTAATTAAAAGAGATGTCTTATTTAAAGTTGACCTAATTTGTGATGGTGGCAGCATGGAGGTGCCAAATGATTGTAAGACTCGGAATTGTCTTCCTTTTCTGATCCAGATGAAAATTTCCTCATTTGTGGATAACAGTACTGACAAAGGTTATTCAAATTTAGAAGTGCTTTCCCACCTAGATATAAATCAAGCCAGATAGAAACACGTTTGGATACACTTTTCCTTAACTGACCAAATTCCTGGCAGGATTGAAAACGAATAGCTTTTCTAGTTTAGGTCATTAGTAATAAAATAGTTTTCTGGAACACAAACAGTAACAGTATATGGTGTAATCTGGGATATAGCATGTCCAAGACGGCCCTTGGAGCGGTGCCAACGGATGTGGTTGAAACAGTCTTTTTTGGCATCTAATTAAGTGAGGGCAGGGGTTGTTGGAGGTGGGTACCCCTGGCCATAGTAAAATTGAGAGACTGGTTTTGAATTATCTGGCTGTTCGATGCAAATGAATTAGGTACTGAAGTATCTTGGTGTTTAAAAAGAAAACCAAAAAATACCTTACTCTTGGATCTGAGTCACACGCTCGCAAAGTTTGAGACTTCTCATGTATTTGTGCAGAGAAAATCCAATGCAATTTGCCAGACTGTTCTGTACTTGTGTTCATAGCCAGAGTAATTTCCACCTGCTTCTGACTGCAGGCGCCTTAAGTGAGAGCCTGGTTTAGTTCCTTACAATGGTGTGTTAGTTGTCATGCGGGGTCAGTCCCCTTTGCAGATTAAGCATTCTTCTGTCTTACTGGTGTCATGCGCTGGGTGAGGGGCTTTGCAGATTTTGGCTGATGATCAGATGGGATTGTTACTGATGTCACTCTGGCACTACTCTTGCGATGTCTCAGCATCACCCATGAGAGCTGTTGTTTGGTTGTGCCAAAAGGTGGAGAGAGAAACTGGGGGAAACTGGTTTCCTGTTGATATCTGACTGGAGAATCTTGGCCTCCTGTGTTAGAGCCTATTTAACGTGTCACGGCACTGAAAGGCTCCGTTCAAACTTGGACCCTGCTGCTCTTTCTGTAAACAAAGATCATCCCTGCCCTACAGCCTGAACTGCTTGGAAACGATAAGCCAATCCTGAATTAAAAGCTAGCTTTGGTCTTAAAAGTGGTGGGGCAAGGCAAGGGCCTGAGCGGACCCCGATTACCCACCGCAGGAGTTTTTTTCCCTCGCCCTTCTGGCAGTTGCCGTACTGGGCTGCTGATTTTATTTTCTATTTCTGTTCTTTTAAACTGTGTTACAGCATTATAGGGTTTATGAATTTTGTTGGTACGTGGGTTTGTGTGTGGTTTTTTCTAACTCTGAAGAGCACACAGGTACTGAAGAACAACTTTTTCAAAGTGTTCAGCTGTGGGAGCTAGAAGAATTGTAATCTAACCCCCTCTTTGCCCCTTTCTGGCTGACCAGAACAGGGAGTCGAAGACTGTCCTGAGCATCCCTGGGTGGGTTAAGCCTTTTTTTGTGGGAGATTTTAATTGATGTTTAGCAGCAGTAGTGTTGAGTAGCACTGGCAAGTGTTGCAGTGGCTTTGATGCAGCACGGGATCGTTACGGATCTGTCGTTTTGAGCCAAACTAACGTGTGTGTGTGTGGCTGTCTCTCACTTTTCAGACACAGGCGCCTGGCTTTGCTGAAGCAAGTGAGTATCCGAGAGAACTGCTGCACCCTTTGCTGTGATGAAGTAGCAGACACAGAACTCAGGCCATGTGGACACAGGTAAAACCTTAAAAACAACCCAAAACAAACCCAAAACCCAAAGAAACAGGAAAATGTGTGCGTTTTGACATTCAGCTTAGGTGAGACCAGATGCAGACCCTGCTTATCTTGATTTACTCCGCAGCGTAAAGGAAATAACCCCTCCTTTTAAAGATGTGACAGATAGAGGTTAAGCACAGTACTTGCATTATTCCCTCATCCTACCCCTGAGTAGATTTAATCCCTAATTGTGTGTGTTTGGGGTTGGGGAAGTTCTGTGACTATCTAAGTATGCTACTCCTGGGCTCCCGAGTCTTAATTCCCTGATATCAAAGGTTTTACTGACGAGTACTTGTTTAGTGCTGTGCTGTGAAATCCAGATCACAAGAGGAGAGCAGAAAATTCATTATATACTCAAATACTCATTAAACATTTGATAAATGGATTGTCTTAAGTCACAAATTCCTCTAAAAGATAAAAAGGAGACAGCAGTATGAGTAATACCATCACAGCACTTTCCTGCCTTTAAGCAGCCTACTAGAACATCAGTCCAGTTAAGTCCAGTGCCTTAGTGTTCTCCGAGCACTCGTGGAAGCAGGTCTAGATGCTCGAAAGTGGAAAAAAAGAAGAGATGTGCCCCATGGGTGTCACCAGGGCACTGGGACTGCTGTTCTCCAGAGCAGAGCAAGCATGATCCTGACCAGCTGCACCAGCAGCTCAGGTCTGTGAGGTGCTGAGCAGCCTGAGCTCCTCCCAAAGCCTGTGGATCCCCAACACCTGACTTGCAATTCCTAATCTCCACGCTGAAAGACTTATCTCGACTGTGTTTCCAGCAGCACACCTAAACTGCTTAGTGCTTGGAGTCCTTTGGGGTTGTATTGTGAATGCAGGCCTTAACCGATTGTTCTTCTCCTTCAGTGACCTGTGCATGGAGTGTGCCTTGCAACTGGAGACGTGCCCCTTGTGTCGCCAGGAAATACAGACCCGAGTCAGACAGATCTCCCACATTTCATGACACACGTGGAGGAACACCACAGACTTGTTTTTCACAGGCTCCAGCCAACACAGAAAGGGGAAAGCATCTCTAACCCATCTTTACGCACACAGGACCACAGCCGCGGCCAGATTTCATGCTGAACTGTACTCTGTTTATCTTAAAAATGAAATCTTTAATAAGCTATTTCGGGTTGCCAGCGATGGGAACTGGTTTCAACAGTAAGGAAAGCTGGTAGGTCAGCGTGCTATGGCTACTGGTTCCTCCAAGCAAGACCACACAAGAGCGTCTCTCGTCCCTCCCCTTCTCGCCTGTCGCAAGTGCTGAAAAAATTTGCACTGGAAGTTACACGTACAATGCATTTTAGCAAAGAAGAGGGGAAAAAAAATATCTCCCAAAACAGGGCCGTTCTGTCTTGTGCTCAAAAGCCTCTACCTTTGGCAGAAGTCAGTGCTAAAACGAGAATGCCAACGTTTTCCTGTTTCATGTAGCCTCCTGCTGGTCAGAGACTCTGAGTTTTCCAACAGTGGATATCCAACTGCTCCAAGGCTGAATCTGTACACAGATTTGAAAAGACAAGTGTGGAGACTGGGGAGAAACTTATGTGTTTCAATACCATTGGTGATTCCAAAGAATGTTCTGATTTGGTTTGAGACGTTAAAAGATTAGTGGTATTTTCAAGTACCTAGTGTTTCTGATGCTTTTAACTTCAGTACCCACGTTTTTTTGTGAGGATATAATTTTCAGGAGGTATTCTTAACTAATTATAACGCCGGACTGGAATTAATTTGATATTCTGGGTATTTTTTAAGGTCTCATCAAGCATCTTTTTTAATCAGCGTTGTTTTTGAAAGTTTTGTTCACTTTGGAAATATTGAGCTATCTTAAAAGACTGGAGAAGGATTTGGGGCCAGTTTATTTAAAAAAAAAAAAAGTTATTTGGATAGCAAGTTCAGTCTTACTCTGTAACTCGTTAAAAATGCACCTTGCTTGCCACATGTCCGTCCTGCTCTGAGCAGGTTTGGGGCCACACTTGGTATTTTTGGTGGGGATCATCCAGTGGGAATCTCTGCCCCACTTTAATGACACGTTTGTGACACTTGTGTGTTAAGGATGCATTTCAGCAGGCAGCTCTTGACCGTTCTACTAGGTTTCTCCAAGGAGTCAGGGTTCACAGCTGGTGTCAGGGGAGTAACACAAAAATCGGTGGAGTTACGCTTATTTTGCACCAACTGAGGATACAACTCAGTCTCTTCCAAGACTTGTACAGGCTGTGGTTTTAAATTCTCTGGCTCTATAATAGAACTTCACTAATTCACACCCAACTTACCCCAAAACCACCCCGCTTCTCAGCAGTGATTCAACAGCAGAGGCTGTGGATTCTCATGCTGCGATTATCTTCTTTTTAAAATCATCTGTTATCTTTATCCTACTATCAGGTATTAACAAAGCAGAACTGAGGCTGCTTCTTCCTGCCGAGCACTTTTGCTTCCTACTGACCTAAGTAGGAGCCGGGAGCAATGCACACAGGTTCCAGAATCGAGCTCTCTGCAACTCCGGTCACCTTCTGCCTTTGCTAACTCAAGGGTGCTGAATTCCATCCAGAGATTTAAAAAGAAAAGGAAAAAAGTGTCTCCATTGAGCCTCTGGAGTACAATGTGTGAGTTAGGAAAGTTCTGTCCATTGTTTTCATGTTGATTTTTTTTTTTTTTTTCCCAAATACAGACTGAATCCAAAACCAGGGTGCTGGTTAGTCTTTTTGCTAAAATGTGAATTCCCTTCCGCCTCAGATGCCCGTTTTGATTAACGTTAGGCTGGCAGATCCGTGCCACGGGGACCTGGTTCCCTCACTGACTGTGCGTTACGATGCTTTGCTGTAATCCCTGTTGCGAGTCCCTTCCTGCTCAGAGCCGAACGAGCAAACCTGTGAGCACCGTCACTGCCAGAAGGATATCCCAATTTCAGAATCGCTTGAAATGAACTTTTAAGTGCTTCCAAACACAGTGATGGGATTTCGTCCCTAAGGTACAAGGATAAAACCCATACTTAGGGAAGAGGTGGGACAAAACCATTTTGAACTCTGCCTTAATAGATTCTTGTGACTTCAGGGCTTTGCTTTCCCTGGCCAGGATTAACTGAGGTGAAGTTTTCGGAAGTGCCTAGGGCTCCCGGTTTGTACCAACTGCTGGCTGAGATTAAGCTCTTAAACCCAGGTCCACAAAAGCTTCTGGGTGTCTGGTGTCCCCTCGGAACAGGGGTGACCGAAGAGCCCCGCTGCCTTTGCGGACACGGGACTAAGCGCCTGCGCTCCGTGTTGAGCAGACGGGAATGCTTTGGAAAATTT